TTAATATAAACTTATATACAAATTTATGATTTTCTATGGCGTACATATAGCGAATTTATTGAATTAGTTAAAAAAAAAACTTCGACCATTTATTTATTTATTTATATTTTTGTCTTTGCATCATGACAGACGTGTGATTTTCAAGTTCATGAACTATAATCATGCGTGCTGGTATTTTGATATATATATATATAATTTTTTTTTCAAAATAATCTATTCCATTCCCATTTCCCTTGCCAATCAGTTTTGATCACTCATTCAGGTGCAACAAATATAATATATAGTAACATTGATAAAGAATATATAATCCACAATAATAAAACCAGTCTCGCAATGCGTTATTTATTTATTTGTTTATTTTACAATATGACTGTAACATTCGATCCTGACTTCAACACTTAACGCACAATCATGCAGATCGCCAGGAATAGACTCCGCTGAGGACGACATAGCTTTAAAAAAGCCATAGTCTATATCTTGACGTATTATACTATATAGGATCGTTTAACAGCTTTTCACGTCAGTTTTAGGGATTGTCTTGTCTGATCACAAATAATATGCAGAAAAATGACATGCCCATTAAACTGGCAAATTGAAAGTCTTGAAAGAAATGCGCATAAAAAAGCTCTCGATACTAATATGGGCTAGACGCTAGGTTTTTATTTCCTCGGTGATCTATACTCGGTTTGACACTGGATTATGATGGACAAATGTATGACGGTTTATTTCAGGGTGGTCGTCCTATAAAACCAATGGGCCGTGACATTGATAGAGGGCGCCAAAGTCAGGGAAAGGTGCGAAAAATTGGACATTTTAGCTTTGTTGTCAATATTTTATCGGTAATTACGTAATTTTACAAGTGACTTGAATCCCCAAAATCTTTGAATCAATCAACAATATTTCTTTCAATAAGATAACTGATTTTGAAGGTTAAAGAACAAACAATCTTTTCAAAATCTTAATTGAAACATAGTCTACTTTTCTATACTATTGCGGCAAATTTGCTAAGTTGGTGGTCTTTGGGCGATCATATTCTTTTATATATTGCACTGAGAGTAATACAATTTTCCCTGTCCATTAAATGTTATATTTCTATCTGTCTTATGAAGTTACACTTGTATTACTTCAATATACGCCGTAATGCTGCCCATCAAATATCGTAAATAAAAATTCTGGACCATCAAGCAACACTTTTTTTTTCAGTTACAAAAACTAGCTTAAAATGCATTAATTTCACACATTAAAAATCCGAAGTGCAGGCTAAATGATGATTAAATATTTGTAGAGATATGAAAATGCAAAATAAAAAAAAATGTAATGTATCTATTTGTCATCTTGTGCGACGCGCATCTATCCGCTAGTACAGGCCTACAGGGTTGCTACCTAATATGGAATATTTTTTTATCATTGCTATTTTTGAGAACTGATTAATTTTTTTTGGCTTGAGTCATTAAAAAAAGTATGTCACTGAGTGATAAAAATATCCAGTCTTCTGTTGTGAGATATTTTGGTCAATGATATCAAATCTGACATAAGATGCCATTCAAAAGATAAGAACACTCCCAGAAAACCATATCAACAGTTTGATGTCATTATTAACTTTAAGCTAGGATATTAAAGAAAATGATAGCCTCCGGACAGTGATATGTTACACAGTCAAAGAACTCACTACAGTAAATCATGAAAAGTCAGTAATTGCGGGTATGACCTCCAGCAGCCGCTTGCAGCGCCCTCTTCCTACATGGCATACCCTGTGACACGCTTTTTAGAGTTTGGGTGGGGATATCATTCCACGCAGTGATATTTAACTGTCGCAGTTCATCACTATTTACCGACCGATGACCATAGCTATTAATTCTGTGAGTTACTTTTGCCCAAAGTTTTTCAATTGGGTTCATATCTGGAGAGTTTGCAGGCCAGGGCAGTTGCTGAACCCATTGGTTTTGAAGAAAAACAGTAATTCTGCGGCCTCGATGTGGGGTTGCGCAGTCGTCTTGGTACACAAAGTTGTTCCTGAAGATGACTCTTACCAATCGAAGCATCGTTTGCCGTAGAATGTCTCTGTAGGAATCCTGGATGAGGTTGCCTCCTAGAAAAACAAACTGGTTCTGGGCACCAACATGAAATGCTCCCCAAACAGAGACGTTACCATCCCCTGCTTGCACCCTAGGCAGTGCACAATCATCGTTTTATGCCCCTCGTGCACGTCGGTGGACACGGATTCGACCATCATCCCTAAAAAATCCATATCTGGCCTCATCACTGAAAACGACGTGATTCCAGTGTTTTGGCTGCAAACGCACGTGGTCCGTAGCCCATTGTAGACGTCACTGTATGTGACCTGCTGTTAACAGTGGTTTCCCTACTGGCCTTTGTGCAAAATAACGGGCTTGCAGTAATCTCTTGTTCACGAGGGACCTTAAAACGAGCATTTGAATGACATTCTGCCTCTCTTTTCTGAGGACACTGGTTGTCTTTGTACGACCAGTACGGCGTCCTCTAAGGAGAATGCGATCCTGTCTTCTTGGTGTGATACACGGACACCCTGGTCGAGGTATTGGAGTAGGTGCCCCTGTTGCAGCATTTCTTTGGAGGACTTTACAAACGGTTCCTGATAAATGTTGAATTACCTTGCAATGGCTGTCCGTTTCTGGCCATTTTCTCTGAGAGCAAGAACCCCATAGTAAGCTGCGTTACTTAGCTGTTTAACCATATCTTCACTAAGGTACCTGTCAAGTTTCAAAGCGATCCCTTTGTTGCTTCTCTAAACACAGATCTGTCGCAATATGTACTTCAAGATATTAAATTGAATCTATTGATTGGTCAGTGTGCAAAAGTCAAAATGCAAATTTGCAAAAGACGTACACTATACTGTATCTACTTATTAGTGCAATGAACAGGTCTAAAATCATTCTTGATAAAGGTGCGGTAGCATGTAACAAAATAGTTCAGATTTTATTCATAGAAAAAAGCCTTACCGTTCTAACGGGATGCCAGACCCCAACACGGCTTATTACTTCTCCGATATATTCATTTTTGTATACATGAATAATTATACACAAAAATATTATATTTAATTTTTAAAGCCCTCATCACAAAAAAAAAAAAAAAAAAAAAAAAAAGGAAATATATCAATCAGCACATGGCTATGTATGTTTGTGAGACGTTAGTACATGTACACCGTAACGTCTTGTTACAAGGCCGGGATTTTGAATCGGACAGGGGATCTAATCTTACAAGAGTAAAAGAAATCTCATACATGCCTCTACCTCACCCTTTTTGTCTATTACAGAACAGATATCTAACAGTTGCTTAGGCTAATTACGTAATGTAGGGGTCAATATCATACTTTGCACAAGAAAGTGTAGAAAAACACATTGAAATGTTTGGAAAAGGCAATTAAGTGTCTGTAAGGGGCTAGTTTTGACATTGCTCTTGAATTAGATTCAGAGAAAGCTTTCGACTTGGCATTTTGCATAATCCTTGACTGCTCCAGTACAATTTCATTTAATATTGCTGAAAATAATACACTTAGGCCCTACATGGTAAAAAAGACCATGCCTTGCAGTTAAGAAGATCGAGGGCGTCTCGATAATCCGAAGCCTCATTGGTCCGAAAAATCATATGCACGCGCCTCTTATGAACTTCGCTTTATTACTGAGTACACTATACACTTTATTCTTGCATTAATTTGGACTATCGAACCTTCGGACCAATGAAACTCCACGTGTGCAGACTACTGGATAAAATAGGCCCAATGTTCATATGCCTGGGTGGGGGAACTGTTAGTGGTCCATAATAATTAAAGTCGGTCTCTTCGGTCAATTCCTCAACAAACAAAGAAACAAACAAATAAAGAAAGAAAGAAAAAAGAAAGGAACGTCTTCGAATTATATCTTTATTCATTGTATCGCATGCATCTACATAGGTAGATGAAAATGTACAATAGGAACGAAGGGGTACGAAAGGAAAAGGTCTAGACTACTCTGGGTAAAATTTGATCTAGGTACATGAATTTTTTATGGAAAAAGGTCCACGTTTTCAGGAAAAGAACCCCCTTTCGAAATCGCTGGCTACTGGCCTGCTCGATAACCACAAGTGATCAGTGCTATGTCCTAAGCGTCACTATCTAGCCTAACTATATGTAGCCACGTAAATTGTAATGCCACTTTTATAGCTGAAAAATCACTGTTTATGCCTACGTTTCAATAAAAACAGATATTAAAAAAAAGGGGGGGGGGGGTCTGTGACCTGAACGACCGAATGGAAAAAATGATGAGCTCATCTTGAACTTATAACGCCACCTTAAGGGGAAAGGGCATAGCAACTGTCACGTGACCAAACAGCAGCCATCTGTGGACACCTCACCTGCTACATGTAACTGGGGCTGATTATCGACCAATATGTGACATTTAGTCCGTTGCAGCGTTGAAGCTTATCTGTAATTTTACATTCCGTCCATGTTTCAAGTACCAAAGGTAATTAAATATATTACATATGAATATTGCCAAATTGTAGGGCTGTCAAACCAAGGGACAGCCTATGAGAATGGAAAATTTTTGTTTGCTTGGATATTACTGGCAAGGATTTTAACGTTACTGGACGCATATGTGGCATTGTTTTCTGAGTATCTGACCAACCAATTGGGAATTTGATTTTAAGTGTGCATATTGTGTGCATATTGCCTTCACCATATTGCCTTCACCAACATACTGTATACCGTATTACGACTATTGAAAAAGAAATGAACCTGTAATTTCATAACAGTATGTTCAAAAGCGCATGCGGATCTAAGATTTCAGAGGGGAAGGGTGGGTGTGGGTGTGGGTAGGGGGGGGGGGAGTAGATTCTGATGCAATTTGGGGATGTAGAGCAAACACTTACATTTTATGAAAACCCAACATTAGATCAAAGGTCCTCTCTACTTGGCTAACTTCAAGGTATTTTTGTTACATTGCTTTTCATCATTGGTACCCGGTATGGTAATTAATTATCAAGTCAATCAAAAACATTAAAACACCCCCTCTGCTTCAGCTCTTATGAATATATCACTGCGAGTATCAAGCTAAATTGTCTGTTATAAAATATCACTATGCTTTTAAAGTTGTATGGTTAAAGCACAAATTAATGTAATCTGTGATAAATTGTCATATACCATGCTTAGCACTTACCCTGACCTGGGGTAGCACTAGAATTTTTTTTCACTTAGCCAAATCACTACATTTTTGTCAATTTGATATCAAAATGGTTTTAATTTGGCTAAAACATGTCAAATCAAGACCTAGCTCTTTCTTCAGCCAATTTAAGTCAGTTTTAGCATTAGGCTAAATTGGCGAGTGTTAGCGCTACCCCAGCCAACTATTTAGAAGTGAGCATGCTTCATTAAATCTATGCAGCTTTCTTTACAATCACTGGAAAGAGCAAATGATTTTGTGTTTTTGGTACCAGCACCTTGACTGATCTGAATTGCTGAAATGTCACTGCTTTCTCTTCCACAGCTGCACTAGTCAGCATGTCTGCAGGCTTGCACACTATGAATGGTGGGTCCAACCTGCCTCCCATCACTGAGGGGAAACCCATGGACAGCATCCTCAGAGCTAAAACTACAGTTCTGAAACATAAGAAGAAGAAAAGAGAACGCTCAGTAACAGGGATATCAAGTGAAAATGCCAATAAAAAAAGAATTGACTATGTTTTGGTGTATACAGAGGAGCAGCTGAAGCCAGATGCAGATAAGGAAGAAATTGAGGAGTTTGAACAGAGAAAAGCAATGAGGACAAAGTTTCAGGGAGCTCTAATGGCTGAGGGATTGACATTGAATGAACTGCATGTTGTAGATAAAGATGATAAACATGAAGTCTTTGTCTTGGTTCACACTGGGTTTGAGGATCTGTGTCTGGAAGCTGAGAGTGTTCACCTGGAGATGCCTTTAAAAGGGGTAAGTCTGGGGTGGTTTGATAGGCCCCATTCACACGCCTCCCCATGCGTCGTCCCTGCGGGGGTACAGTCATTAAATATTGGCTCCATTGGGACGACACATGGGGAGGCGTGTGAGAGGCGGAGAGACTATTAAAAGATTAGGCAGTTTTTCTTTCATGTACTTCCGCCATATTTAGGTCGTGGCTTTGTAGAGCCATGGCTCAACTCGATGTGAATTACTAGTAGGCAGTAGCTGAGTACTTAACAAATAGGCAAAAAAAATTTGAACTAGATTACAGATGATTTTGGAGGAAGTAGTAATATGTTTAACATTATTTTTAGTTGGAACAAGTAGATGTTTAGGATTTGAATAGATGTAAACGTTGCTATGCTTGACTCTAGCATATGTCTATACCTGGTGCAGACTACTAGTAAAGACTTTTGAACAAGAGAATACTACAATTTGAGTCAAATAAAAAATGAAATTGATCTCCCCCTCCACCCCCCCCCCCAAAAAAAAAAAAAGAATGTGAAGACAAGGTCACTAGTGTTGTAAGTTATGCTAAAAGTGAAAAATAAATAATTTGAAGTAGTAACATGTCCTGGGTTTGATAATATTTAAGCTTTTAGCATTATCAAGCTGGTCAAATTGAAGCTGGGATACGTCTGCGTAATTCCTCTTAAGATCTGTTGTGCTGGATGATCAAGAGAATATTACTTAGAAATTATATAGTATTTACCTGATATAAATGATAGTGTAAAAATGATAGTGTAAATAAAGAGATTTGTGTCTTTGAATGTGAATGTAAATAAACATAATTTTGACAATTAGAACTGGTAGAATTGATTTGTAGCACCATTAATGTTTTAGACATGATCTTTCCAATGCAATACATTACTCATATTGGACTACGTGTTTGTGTTTTCCCTGGGTAAACATTTTGGTTTACTCTAAAGATTTCTGTGACTTGTTATTAGCAACGGCAAAATTTGCATGGTCACTCTGTGTTGATTCATGGCCACTTGAATCTATAGCATAAAATTACCATACAAAAGTTCTTCAAATTACTTGAAAAGCATAACCTCACTCAAATGTAAATGATATTCATATTTTAAAAAATGATAGCATGACTGTTCTGTTTGTTCATTTAGAGAAAGGTGCTTAGTTTGAGTCTCTAAAAGATGTCATTTAAGAACTATAGAGAGGCCAGAGATATTTGTCCATATAGTAACTTAAATCTGAACTGAACAAGCTCATCTCTTGGAAGAAAAGGAAAATTGATATGATAATTGGTAATTACTATTAGAAAACCTACAGTATAGAATTTTACAAAAGATAGGCATATAAATGTCAAAATGTGAGAAGAATGGAAAGTTAATGATCCATTTGTTATAAGTTGGATTTCCTCAGACTTTTAAATGACTTTTTTGTTTGATGAAAACTCAACATTGATACTAGATATTAAAGAAAATACTTAGTATTAAATTGATAAAGGATGAATTTTAACTATAATGAAATAAACTTTTCTTGAATGTGCCAAAAATCTGTGTAAGCATAGGCTAAGTAAAAGTACAAAATTGAAACCTATTAAGTTAGAAACTGTGTAACTGTTGATACCATAGTAACTGTGTATGGCATCTCTAAATAACTTTCTCTTACATATATCTCTAGTATTGTGCTGCTGGAATCATTTCAGCTGAAGGTCAGTGAACAAAGAGAAGACATTGAGGAAGAGGAGAAGTCATATGGTAGGAAACTACAAGACTGGGTTCAAGAATTGCAAAGAGTCTATCTGCAGACAGATAATGAAGGTAATTATAATAAAAAGATACATTTTTCTGTTGCTCTTCAAAATTTACTCTTGTAACCTGAAAGAAATAATTGAAGCAACTCTGCATTCTTTTAATTAATATACAGCAATCCTGTCTCTATGGAATGCTAGATATTTAGCTCAGTTAGCTCAATTATAAGAAAATTGTTTACCTTGGAAGTCAGTTAATGTTAATGTCCAGACTGTTCTACTGGCTACTTGTACATAATTTCAGCAGTATGTCTGGTTCTTATATTGGTGTCTTAAGTGATTGAATTTTTTTGGTATTTTAAATGCATCAGGCAATAATGTCACAAACCTCATTTATGTATTGTTTCACAGTCTTTTTTTTTTTTGTGGATATAATTCTTGTGTGTCACATCAATAGATCCTCCATGGTAATAAGGTAAACATTGATAATTGATGCAGGTATGGATTGTGTTACAGATTATAATGAATGATGGCGATTTCTTCTGTTCCAGAGGACTACATCAGTGCACCCTTTCAGTGTTCAAAATCTAATCACTTCAAAGATTTTGAGGACAAGGACAAGTTTTTCCGTAGTTCTTTGCGAAGTTTATTGGTAGGTCTTAACTTATTTTGTATGATGTCTGCAATCTATAAATGCATTTTGATGATATTTTTGATTACACTGATAGCCCCCATAATCTGTGAAAGTTAGGTTCAGATGTGAAAAAATGGTTTTGTTTTGATTGACAGAATTTGAAATTCTTTATATAGAAATAGAAATTTGCTACCTTTGTTAAAATGCATGGTACATGTATATAGAAATCTGTTCATAGGCGTAAATTTTAAACAGATCCCTCTATAGATGTATCTTTATCTTATCTAATATAATTGTTACAAAGATGCAAAAATGCATGTTCATTACTGCATGTAGGACTAAGTTTTAAGTATAAAAATAACTGCCATCTTAGTAATTCTGATCTATTCTTTTCAGACGCACAACATATTAATCAACACAGATGTCAGGGACAAGACAGAGAAGGAATCCATTCTGAAACATGGTGGGGTTTAGTCGGCTGATGTACTGTTGAGATAATTATTGTATACTAGTAATTAGGGCCATAATGAGCTGTTATTTTTAATTATCTTATACAAGGTTTATACACAAACATATATTAAGAGAATGGTGTAATTTAGGTGTTTAACTTGAACAATTATGTGAAGTTGCTTACTACATTGTATAATGATAGTATAGCATTTTTATGCAATGCCGTTTGTATTCCTCAGCCAACCCAAAGAACAAGAGTCTGAAAAAACCAGATATCCTGGCCAAAAAAGGTACAGTACATTTTTACATGCTGTTATCATATTTTGATGCCTATTAATAGTTTGAATGTGTAGTATTTTACTTTTGACATCATAATATATTTTCAGTGTTTCCTTTTATGATGTTGCAAGGTACCCAACAGTTTTCTTGCATGCATTTTGTTGCAAAAAAAAAAAAAAAAAAAAAAAAAAATATATATATATATATATATATATATATATATATATATATATATATATATATATATATATATATATATATATATATATTTATATATATATGTTGAATTCAGCCCAAGAATTAGGTAATATTTTTTTCTTCAATCAGCAGCTAAATATTGAAAATTGTTTACCTCCAATATTTTGATGTCTATCAGAGCATCTTCATCAGGGAATATTTAGCTGTTGATTGAAGAAAAAATAACTTTATTTTTCTCTGAGACCTAAGCCATCAATGTACAGAATTAGCAGCTGCATCATTCTTGTCTTTTTATTTTTTCAGCTCTTCCTTATCTTCTTCACAAAAAGATCTACACAGATGCCTTCATCATCCACGATGAATCAGTTGATGATCCTGAAAATCCTAGCAACAAAAACAAGAGTAAGCCTTGTAGCTCATGTTGTGAGGAGGAGTTTGTCAACCCAGTGGGGTTTGATATGGACCCTCGCTGGACTCTGAATCACACATGGACTAGAATCTTCAAGTACCAGCCCCTCTGGAAGATAAGGAATTACTTCGGGGAAAAGATTGCCCTGTATTTTGCATGGTCTGGTTTGCTTATTACTTCACTATGGATGCCAACTTTGTTTGGTCTGAGCATATTTTTCTATGGGTTGCATTTGAGGTGAGTAAAAGAAGAAGCATCGTTTTAAAACTTAGGTCTTTAGTGCATACAGATTTATCAAAACATCAATACTATAATTGTTTTATTTAAACCCTTGTGTTTCCCTGTAGGGGTAGAAGTTAACACTGACTTTCAGCAAGGAGTTATAACTCCTTGCTTTCAGGAATCAGTAGTTTCAAGATGGGTTTCTATACAACAGTTCCAATAACTGGGAAAATTTCCCCCATATACATTGCAACATTGAATACATGTTCTACAATTAAAATTGATTCAAAGTAATTGCTGGAGTTAATTCAAAGAATTTCTTCATATCAGTGTCCAAAGACTTGGCAATCCATTTCATGTCAACACCACATCCACTGAGAACCAGACAGAGCTGGAACTTATTAAGAGGTTTGTATTTTGCCATAATATGATGCACTGTGTTCCTAATAATGGAACACCTATAGCTTGACACAAAGTATGGCATTTTACAAAGAAAACGTGTCAGGAAAACTTTGTCATAAATGTTTGAAGTTAAAATTTATTTCTTTTGCTGAAAATGTTGTATTTATCTACATCCATTTTTGAAAAAAAAATTTTAAGAAAAAAAACACCATTACCAGGTGTCTTGTCATGCTTTTTTGCCCTTGTTTTTGATCTGAATTTGTAAAGAAGAAAAGATCACATAGTATTAATTGAATGTGCAATACAATATGTTTGGTAATACATTTAAAAATAATCAATTTATCTTAAAAGGCTGGTGGACACGGCAGAAAACCTGATGGATGTGATCAAGGAAGCCTGTGATAATGAAGTGACTCCATTCTTTGCTCTAGCCATATGTCTCTGGGGTGAGTTGTTAACAGGATTGTGGCACGAGACAGGGAGCCCCCAAAAATGTCTCTGTTATGAGGGAGTCCAGCCAAAAATGTTGTGAGAGGGAGGTGGGATTCAACTATACAACATGGCTTTTTTCATTAACTGTTTTGCAATTTTTTATTTACACTTTTTTGTAAGGCTAGTGCAGCTGCTGCTATTTACTTGAAAACTTTTTCCAGGCACAATTTTCCTTGAATACTGGAAGCGGACAAATGCCACACTGGCCTATGAGTGGGACGTGAACAACTTTGAAGTGGCTGAGCCAGACAGACCAGGCTTTAAAGGGACTCACAGTAAGATGGTGAGAAAAGTTACATAGATGATGGCCTCATGCTTTAGCTTTTGCGTATGTTTAACTGTTTATGATGGTTGGCTTTTTTGTTTTGTTAGATATTGTGTATCGCTTGTTTTCATTTTCATTTCGTAAAATGAGAATTGTCTCCCTCCCCCTCTCAGTCTTTTACAATTCAATGTGCGGATATATTTCAATTTGTTTGTAACATTTTCTTTGTTTTATAACTTCAGGATCCCATAACAGATGAGCTAACGTGGTACTACCCCTTCTACCGCCAGTGTACCAAGTATGCCGCATCCTGCATGGTCCTAGTGCTTATGGTAACCACTTGTTTTAGCAGTGAAAAATAAAAATTATAATAGTTTTTATTAAAATAACTTGATTGTGTAACACAGAATTTAAATTCCATAATTGCACGGTACACATATCTTTATTAAACACATTTATTGAAATGATTTCTTGAAAAAGAGTACAGAATTTCCCAACCTGCCCCATTCTATTAACAAAATTCTGATTGTTAAGTTTTTATGAATTATCTTTATTAATTCACAATTTTAAAATCATAATGGTGCATTGAGATCCAGTTTTAAAAAGAATACTGATAAGAATAATTTCCCGTGTTCAGGTGTGCCTGGTGTTCATCAGTGTGGCTGGAGTGATATTGTACAGAGTGGTGATTACTGTGGACTACTGTACCATATGGCCCTCTACCATGTGTCTGCTCTTTGGCACTATAGCTTCCTCACTCATGAATGCCATATCCATACTCATTCTGGGCAAGGTAAGGAGGAGGTTGAAGGAGAAAATATCCACTGACATGAATTGTTATTTATTTTTAAATGTGTATTGCTTATCAGTTTTGTTGTTTGTGGGTGGTATGACACATTATATCAATAATTTAACCCTAAATTGCACACAGTATTGAGAAATGTGCACACACATTTAATTCATTTTAATTTGACCTAAAGTGCAACTGTTAAAATGTCAAAATGTATTTTTAATTATTTTTCAGATTTATGACAAAATAGCATATATTCTGACAGATTGGGGTAAGTATCGGATTTAAAATATAATGATAACTTCCTTGGGTGCAGTTTATGACAATTTTTTAAACTTATGGGTTTTTACTTTCCAAAAAGTATAAATTTATCTAGTTAAAATGTAAATTGCAGGTATGACCTAAGATACTGTATATATATTTTATGCTAGCCTTGCTGTCTAGTTTTATAAATTATGCTTTCTGCTTTTTCAAAGAAAACCACCGAACTCAAACAGCATATGATGATGCCTTGGTGATCAAGCTGTTTGCTTTCCAGTTTGCAAACTCCTACGCCTCTTTGTTTTACATTGCCTTTTTCAGAGGGGTAAGTCCTGCTCCCTTTGATTATTTTAAATACTGAAACCTTAATTAAAATATCAAGCTTATGACTAGCTTACTTGAATCAGTGCGTGTTCTATTATACACATTACATTATGCACATAAAATCTTCATGGGAGTGAATTTTAATTAATTCTGACACCCTGAAAGTAATATTTGTATCGACATGAAAATTTATTGGGAATTATGGTACTAATAAACATCCAAGTGATTGTTGTCAAGCAGGTGTCATGATGTTGACCAAACTTTGATTAAATTTTAATTATAAGCCTCATATCAGTGTGAAGAATGTATTGTATTCTTTTGCGATTATTCCTTTAATTATTAAACTTCTTGTTATATTAATGTAGTGCAATGTGGGATTGTACTGTAACATCAAAAACATGAAATAAAAACATGGTGCATGTGCCAGTATGTGACACTATTTCATCTTATTGTATTACTTGTTATATTGCAGTTAGATGAAGGGTTGTTTGGTTTGGGTGATAAGTATGTGGACACGTGTGGTACTGGCAATAACTGTATGTCCATGTTATCCTTCCAAGTGTTGGTGCTCATGATTATCAAACCCTTCCCCAAGTTATTGAAAGATGTCTGCATACCGTAAGTAGAGCAAATTTCCAGTGTAAGTTATGGTAGGTTTTTCAAGCTGTAAAAAAATAACTTTCTGAAAATTATTTGAAGATTATTCAAGTGTGATTTTCAGATATTATTTGATGGAAATGTTGTGGTAGATGTCAGTAATTTTAAAAAGTACTCCAAGAAAAACATTAAATAAATATAAAACAGAGACGTGCAAATAGAGACTTTCATATGTAACTATACCAATCCAACCCTCATTTCAGTTACCTGAAGCAGTTGTGGAGGGAGAAAATCAAGGGCTGCTGCAGCAGAAAAGAAAACAAAGTCAGCCCAGAGAAAGATGTCAAAGTCACAATAGATGACTATGTGGAAAGAGAGAGACAGAAACCAAAGCTGGAAGACTTCACTCTGAGTGAATACACAGAGAAGGTCATCCAGTATGGCTACCTTATGGTCAGTGTTGACTTTTTTCCAGCTGTTAGATTTTAGTTTTTTTTTCTGTGTTATTTTGAATGTTTTGTAGTTGTCAGTCAATTGGTTTTACCTTCAAGTCTTTACCCACACACACCCAAGCACCTGCTTACACCTGCTCACTCACATGTCCAATCTGTTAATATTCACACACATTGCTTGATTGGCTTTCCCTTACAATAAATAAAAAGATAATTTACCATAAACTTATATACACACTGTAAATAACATGCTATATAATATATATAATGTAATTGCATCATGCCTGTGGTGCCAATATGTGAAATATTTTTTGAATGCATGTGTTCCTTGCCATATTTTTAATGATTCTAGAAAAGGTTGTGTAAATTCCGTTTCGTCCTTGCAGTTGTTCTCGGCCTCACTGCCGCTAGGACCTCTGATAGCCCTGCTGACCAACCTGTTTGACCTAACAGTGGACGCCAAGAGACTACTGTGGTGGTACCGCCGACCAGTGGCTTTTGTAGCACAAGATATAGGTGAGAAGTCAGTTGAGTGTGTGATACATGTGTGCTTTAGGGGACAACACAGAGATGTAACTTTTTTGTGACATGTTGTAGCTTTAACTTGTCATATAAGCATTACAAAGGTAAAAAGAAAACAAAAACTGAGGATGTAAATTTCTAATATGTTAGATGACCGACAACCAAGAATTTTTGCCACAATTCATGAAATTTTTATATACCAAAATTTCAAGTTAATTTCATTTCAATATCAATGTATAGCTCAACATGGCCACAGAATAAAGAAGCCAAATTTCAGTGGGCATAATCTTTTATTATTCCTAAATGCCGGACACTGCCGTGAACTAAAAACAAAAAACCATTGACAACTCATTGTTTAGCATACAAATTAACTCATACTTTAAACACCTTTTCTGCTATCTATAGACATTAATCAAAGCTATGAACTATATTACCTTTCAAATTGAACTGAAATGCATTACCACAAGTTCATTCAAAGAATTCTACTCTTACAATCCTTGACCAATGAAAGTCATTACATGACCAAACTAGCATTTACATCATTAGAACATGTTAAACAAACACATTTAATAAATTATATACATAAATATTTCACCCACCATCATATGCTTCTTTCCAATAAATTCTGCTACTATCATTGTGAGTCTTACTGAATGGCACACACTGAAGGGTATGACCGTAAGAAGTGTTCAGTTATGTTAATAAGGTGCAGTGGATGTGCCTGGTCAACACACCCACTACAATACTGACCACTTTGTTCTTACAATCTAGGCTCTGTTCTCACAACTTTTAGATCGATCTATCACCGCGGGGAGTCTCACTAGATTACTGTCAGATAATCCGCCTTAAGTGTCCGTCCCCGCCTACTACAAGCTATAAGGGGTAATTAACTTTCGTGTCCGCCCGGCTGACAGCTATTTAGCGTGAACCCCCAGGGAGTTAGGTCGATCCAATGTAGGTCGATCTAATCTATGAGAATGGGGTGCAAGATGATTGTAAATGATCATTTCTTTTTTTATCTGCCAGGCATGTGGTACTCCATCTTGCAGTTTGTCAATGTATGTGGGGTGGTAAGCAACGCCTTCCTCATAGCTTTTACTGCACAGTGGGGAAAACAGTTTGGTGCAGTGGAAAAGCTTTGGCTTGTCATCATATTTGAGGTGAGAGACAAATAGTTTCTTTGTTTGAATTGAAGCAAAAAATATAAAATGACTTAAGGCTGTTTCATAAAATGTTTGCCATATATTTAAATACAACCAGACTGAAATAAATTATTATTCCCTGATTAACACCTTTACCAATTTCCTTTAATTTAGTCTTTTTAATAAAATTGTTGATGTGATAGTTACATTTTTAGTCCTGTTTGTTAAAAGAGGAAGAAATTGTTTAAAATTTTTTAGAAATTTAGGTAAGAAATCCAAAAGTTACCAGAATCCCTTATATCCCACTTTGTAATTTGTTTAAACATAACATTTGCTTGCTATACATATATACATGAGATTCTAAGTTATCTTAACTTTGTAAGTTACCTTGCAAATGCAGATATCATAGGTTATAAAATGCACTGCATGGTTTGCATCTGTTCATACAGTAACTGTATCTAAAGTGTAAGATTGGAAAATGGAAAAATGAACATTGCATGAAACATTCATTACTTACCAGAATTTAAAATCATGTATTGCTATGGCATGGAACTTAATGTAATTTTACCTACATTGTTATACAGAACAGTATCAAATGAAGTGAATTTAGATATTATATAATGATTAGGCACGGTAAAGAATACATATATGATTTTGTTGTATCCTGAAGCACACTGTGTTTGCCCTGAAATTTCTGCTGACCTATATCATCCCTGATGTCCCATACAAGATAGAGATTCAACAAAACAGGGTAATTTTTGAAAGAAAAAAACAGCACAGAAGCAAAGCTAATTGCTCATTAACCATTAATGCAAACTGAGATGGTTTTAAGATTCCAGCCATACTAACTGCTTGCAACAATCTGTGATGTATTCTAGATAGCCTGTGTACTAACTAAATTACATGTGTATTTTTTGGTGAATTTTGTGAAAATGTAGGAAGATGAGCATCAAAAGTGGCAATTTCAGTGATGCGGTATAATCACCCCAACAGTGAATATCTCCAACATCTGCTGAATTTAAATATTGAACTAAATGTTTAAAATCCGTTCATTGTTTCATTTTACCATGGCAGCATGTGGTATTTACAGTGTATCTCTTGCCACGTATGTCCAAGCCATATATTTTTCTTAAACATAGGGTAAGAAACGTGTTTCAGTTTGGAAACCAAGCATGTTTTTATAATAACTATATAAGAATGTGAAAAAAAGCCCTTTTATCACCATATTTTCACCGTTTGATATTTCATGATTAAAAAAAAAGGAAAAGCATCTGCAAATATATTGCTACTGTTCAACATGTTGTTTCCATTTTATTTTATTCAGTATCCAGGACACAAAAATCTCAATACAGATTTTCTCATCAATTAAGAACATTCTAAATATTCTTCTGCTTACCCTACTTATTACTGTTTATTTCTGAAGCAATTGAAATTTAACAATTAAAACTGAAACATTCATTATCCTTGTTAACTGTCCAACCTGAAGACCATGATGCCACACTTGCTGCATTTTACACCCAAACACTGGAGAATCTGTTTTATGTCAGACAGCAACACATGGGCGGATCCAGATCGAGATATTTTCTGACAGTCCTCCATTTTATATTTGTTGATCCATCCTCCATTTTTGACCGTCTTCCGACAAAAAAAAATAAGTTACCTGTCAATGTATTCTTGAAAATCTGACTGTCTTCCGGAAGACCCAGAAGACAGTCTAAATCAGCCCCCGTCAACACTAACATTGCACTCTGTCTAAGTCACTGTTTGCTTGGTGTTTGTAACACAAATCACTGCTTTTTTTCTTCTCCTCACTTTGATTTTAGCACACTGTGTTTGCTGTGAAGGGACTCCTAATGTGGCTTATCCCAGATACACCACTTAATGTGCGGAATGCTATTGGAAGGGTGAGAAACAGTGTACTGCAATTTGAGTTTGTCAGGATTTTAGGGTTTTTGCTACTAACCACTAGTGTCTTGTTGCTTTTTTTCTAATTTTTATCACTTTTTTATTAAACACTTAATTTTTGTTTTGAATTTCTAAGATATTGTTTAACTCTTTACTCCATAATTTGATTCAAATTTGGATTCCATATTTTTGATGTTATAAAATGCAGTGTTAAGAAAAAATATCAGCATGCAATGTTATTCTTAGCTTGTCTTTGTGTACTGTTAGTAATTTTCAGCAAAACATTTGGTTTATATTCTTTATAAATTGGTAAATAAAGAGAGTTTCCTTAGTTGTGTCATGCCATTGTATCTCTGTATGCAGGAAAAGTACCAGGTTGCCAAGAAGCTAGAAAGTGGGCAGTTCTTGAATAAAGCACAGATGAAGATGGACATCATAGCACAAGCAGCCACCTATGTGGCAAGGTGGGGGAATACAGTGTGACATGTTTATCCTCAATAAGCTTGTCATTGAGTTGTTTAGGCTTACAATTTAAAAAAAAACAATATTACAGTTGATTTGAATTACTGCATAAATAAGAGTTAAAAAATTTGATTTCATACATAAAGAAAAGCAGAAGAATTTGATCATACTCGTATAATTTTGAATCTAATTTAAAGACATTCTGATTATTTATAGAATGATTGAAAATGATGTCTAATTGCAGTATTACATAGTATCTCATATAACACAATTTGATATACTGTAATGCAATTTATTATTACCTAGCATTGATATTGTTTCAGAACTGGCTCTGTTGATGCTTTACAAAATAACCCAGACTATTTAAAAGCAGAGGAACCCACACCACAGGGTAGTGCATCCTCATTAAAACACAGGCACAAGAAGAAGAAACACAAGCTGAAGCTTCTGGGAAAGTGAGTGGATCTGGAAACTGCTCAACTTAAACTGTATTCAGCCGATTTTAAAAGAACAGTTAAAAGCAATTATAGTAGAGATTTTTACAATGGAAAGAAGCTTATTAATAATTAGATTTAGGGCAAATCACAACCATTGATAAAAATGACTTTCTCTGATTTTAACAGCAACAATGATAATCCTCAAGGTATTGAAATTATTCACAATACCAGATATAAAATTTGCCAATAGAGGCAGTAAATTTGGGCATATTTTTACCAAGTGAAAGATATGGGGAAAAAGGCATGGCAGTGACACCTGTATTACAGTTCCTGTAATTTCAACTTCCTAACAGACCTTAAGATGCTGCCTTGTTTTCAGACTTGGCATTGCTGATCAGTCAGCCTCCAAGGCCAGCTCCAGGGTGACACTGAATGATGCTGATGATGGGGCTGCCCTGGTACCTGGCTCAGAGAGGAAGAAGAGGAAGAAGAAGGGTCATCATCACAAACATGGTGGGCATGAAGACCAAGGTTATACAGGTATGTAGTATGGCTATAGTAATGTCACCACAGGTGGTAACAACTGTGCTTCCAACGTTGAAATCAAATTTTATTTTTCAGATGATTCGATGGATTTATCTTTATTGATATTGATTATTTTCACTTATTTAGTATTATCATGCAGAGTAAGCATTGAGATTTTGTATAAAGCAGTCCAGTGAAGAAAGCAGAAGAAAAGCAGTATCTTCTATATAATTTAATTTATATATAATTTAATTAAAGTGTAATTCTTCTCAAAGATGAGTTTTGAGTTACAACATTATACTGTTTTAATAAAATTTGTCAAATATTGGGCCTGATTTATACTTCCTGCTTTAGAGATATTGCATACTTACACCTAGTAGCTAGGTTAGTCAGGCTGTAATACTTCCCTTATAGGACAAAGATAGAAGCTAGCTGCTACATGTACAAGATATTTAGATCCTTTTGTGGAATAGATGGAATAAATTATTTTAAATCATGTAGGCTTTGATCATACTTTTTTAATTTGGAAAAAAAGAGTTTTCATGAAAATGTTATGCTAATATTTTTGTAAAAATTCCCTTTTAATGAAAGCAAAGGTGGGATAATAGTGATACAAAACATGAAATGTTTGTATCTGAAGTCAAGTGTTCTTTGTAAATCAAAATCATAATATATATTAGACCATGTTTGACCATAAATGAAAGCTTAAAAGAATAGGGTGGCTTGCTACATAATGGTGAGTTGTAGACCAGCAAATCAATGACAGTTCAGAAAAACATTCGTCCTCGTTATGAGAGTGGATATAGAAAATTATAAGCTAGAAATCAGTGATTTAACACGTAATCAATAAAACATTATTTTTCCATGTAGAAAACAGTAGGTAGTGGCATATTGTATGTCTGTCATTTGATTGTTGTCATATTTCATTTGGTTTAATGTAGTTTCATATCGATAAATACCAAACATCAAATTAATGTTAAATATAATATTATGTTTAGTTTTCAAACCCAAGTACCCACGCATGCTTATAGTGTCTTCCAACTGAGTGCTTTTCTTCTACTGCTTTTATTTAGTGATTTTTACCCAATACCGTCTTCAATTAGGACATTTTGAGATAATTCTCTATACCTTGGTTTATATTACAGATGTTGGTGAGATGAGTGTTGAGGAGTGCAGTTCAGAGAGCACTGTCTCTCCTGATTCTAACATTTCTGCCACTTCTTCTAACAGTAACTATATCTTCTACCTTTTCCATTCCAATTTTTAAGTCCAATTAAAACTAAATTTTACGTTTTGTCATTTAACTTCACCATCTTTTTTGGTTCTTTATTACTAAAATAAAGCCTTTGGTCAGTATATATACTATACTATAACAATGACTTCTTTATTAAATTTAACATGGAAGGACTGTAGCTACTTATGCTTTTGAATCATGTTATTTGTTTTTACTATGGAAAAATATATAATGATATTAGACAGGCTTTACTAAGTAAAGTTACTGTATTACGTATTTGGTTTACCAAACATAACCAGGTTGTCCTGAGGAAGGGCTTAGTATCTGATCCAGTGGTAGTTAGTTATTATAAAGTTTACTAGTTTCCCTTGTTTTATACAGTGCCCTCCTACTGTCAGATCTGATTGATATTGTGGTGTTCAAACTCCTTGGTTACGGCCAGTTAAACAATTTTCAAACCCCCCTTGCAGTTCCCTATGTATGTCAAATTCTGACAAACTTGAACAGATATAGTCTGAATCAGATCAGGAATTGATGAGAATTCTGCCCAACAGACTTCTAAGCAGTTGGTCAAATATGACTAAGTTATAGTGAAATAAGAGTGTTGAGAAAACTTACAAAACCATGCTGACTTCTGTTTTGCTGACTAAGTTATAGTGTATAATAATATAGGATTGAGAAGATAATGACTATTCCTGCTATATTGAAAACAGAGTTGTCATCTCCATGTGTTTACGCTTATTGTACTCATTTCCACTGATGATACCTGCTGTTGTCGGTGTTATATATATATATTGTTTATGGCATTGGTGAACATGTAGATGAAGCACATTTAGAACTATAATGTTGGTCACTCTTGTATACATATCAATCATACTAGGTTAGGTCTATCAAAAGTGTTACACTGCAAAGCAGCAACACCAGATACTCTGTAACAATAAATACCTGTGTACTGTTAAATGATTTGTATTAGAAAATATCAACACAACCATGTTGTATTCTCTGTAGGTGACACAGACTTGACTCCACGGCTGGAACAGGGTACACTCGCCCCCCGTGTTGATGTGGGTGCGTACCCCGTGGAACAGGTGGAATATGAGTATGAACCAGGAAGACAGCATCTTCACAACAAGTCTGACAGGTATGCGTGTCGATGTAGAGAGGAAGGAAGTGCAGAGAGAGAGAGAGAGAGAGAGAGAGGGGGTGCTGATAACTTGTCCACAGGTCTAATATATGCTAATTCAGTGTACAGAGCAATACCTCTCAGTGATCATTTAGAACATGACACTGAAGCTGGAGCAGCCAAGCTGTGTGGGATAGAAAATATTTACCCCCTCCACATATTTGAATTACATTTATGAAACTAGGTTCAGCACAGTTTAGTGTCTGGGAGGAGTGGAGGAGGCCCATACCAAATGAGACAAGATGTATGAGAAGATAGTCTGAAGTCAACAGCAGCTCACCCTGAGTTACCTCTACTCATATAATGTTCTGTCCCCCTTCCTGGCCTACTAATAACAGACTTATTTTGTGTGGAGACATTGAACCCAGGGGCACAGCAAGCCAGATAGACCTGCTTATTGCCAGAGAGTGTCCATGGCTTATATTATGCCCTTATCCTAGACACAGCGGAGAAGAAAAAAAACCTCATAGGCTGACTGGGTAGACATACTGAAGATTTATAATACGAATAGAGACATTGAAAATATGGATACTTGTTGTACACATGCTTTTGTTGAATAATGACTTTGTACAAAAATGTGCTTATTTTAAACTGTATACATAACACAGACACTTTCCCAGTTTATTTAAATAATGGACCAGTGTCAGTGGTAAGGGTAGGTTGTACATGTACTTATTGCTGAGCTTTTTGCATTTTATTTGGCTTCAGATTCCTTTGCCCACCCTGTCAACATGAGAGGCGTCTTAAATTAGGTATTATTTTTTCTTTGTTCTCTTTTTTGATGGCCTCCTGTAAATTAACATTTTTGATAAGAGTGCAATGCATGCCAATATGATTTCATGTTTTCTTATTATTTAGTTTCAAATTTTGCATGGAATCTGACATATTACCATCCTATTTGTATTTTGATGAGTTTTGACAGCTATAAAAGTAATAATTCAATTTTAATTTTTACAAATTCACCTTCCTTATGTATATCAAATCCTAGAGCTTTAAGGATTATCACTTTATAAAAGCATATTAAGCTCTAAATCTGAAATCAGCTGATGAAATTAGCTGATACAAATATGAAAACACTATCATTTTCAGCTTGCAGCTGAATATATTTTTGTTATTATCAATTTTCATGACGTCAATATCTTATTTTGAATTGCTAAAATTATTTTGAATTGCTTTTATTTTGATTAGTTACTGTTTCAAATGTCATCCGCTTTCATGTGCGCAAGATATTTTTGGAAATACATTTTTTGTGCAAGTTTTCCATTTATATTCATTTGAATATACTCTAACATAATTGTTTAAAGATTTTTTTTCAGTTATTGAGTTTAATAGGTTTTAACAATAAGCAGGTTAATTGATAATTGGTGAAATATTCTGAGTAAATCCTGTTATTGTTTACAGACGCAAAATATATAAGAAACTAAAGCCTATCAGGTTAGTCAGTTTTTGTTAAGTTGCCTATCATTGCATGCTTCATACTAACACAGAACAATGCAGGAGGCAAGGAAGGGAAAGTTGCATCGCTTTTTTCTTTTCGCAGTGTTGAGATTTTCATCAGTGGCACTTTCTGACATAATTGGTTCTTTGTTTTATTAAGCTAGGTACCTTTAGACACCACAATGTTGAGACAACACCAAGCAAGTTTGCACTGTACACTATCAAGGTGGCATTTGGTGTGATGCACCTTTTTTTTTTTTTTTTACTGAGAAACACTTTTTTGTTGTCATTGACAAACACCAGTTGTGTTGAAGACAGCACTGACTTGTGTGTGATCTACAAAATAAATTCACTTGTTTTTTTTTCAGATTGTACTAATTAACACTCTGCTTTGCTTTGTTGTTGATTGAGTACCAAATTGAGTTAAATATGAAAGTTAAAGATTTAAAACAGTCAAGTTACTAATTTCACTCAGTAGTAGTTGCATTCTGCAAACAGTAGTGAATCTGCATTTTCATTTTAAATTATGTGGTGCATAATTGATTAAGTTGTGAAGACATGTAATTCTCTCGTTTTTCTGAAAATATTTCTTGATTCCATCTATATCTGAACTTAACCCCTGGAAAAGTGGATTTTAATACATAAAATATTGAATAAATATAATAATAATGATATAAGGTTGGGATGTGTTTGAAACATGCAGCATATTATCATTCCAGCAACATCAGCTATGACAAGCAAGGGATGACTTACCTGAGTATGGAGGAGAAGTTTCCCAACTCCAGACCTGGACCTCCCCTGGAGAACAAGACCGTCCTGAAACAACTGCCCGCCATTGATGAGGTGAAGGTGGCGACTCCTGCTGGCATTTACCAAATTCCTTGGGAGAGTCATGCATGAAAATCGTCTCATGTCATCTGTGATATCTCTGAGAATAAACTTGTTATCAAATGTTTTTGCAAAAGAATATACTAGGATCTCTGATTTGTTTGGTAACTTCAAGAACTCAACATATATACATATTATTATTAAAATAAAGGGTTCGATAATATTTTATTCAGGGTTGGTATTTTACTTAGGGTTCATTTGACAATCTCACAGATTTGCAGAATCTTCGTTTTGTTGTAATTGCAAATCCATGTAACGTTTATTAAATGAAAAAAAAAAGCATGAAATTGGATATTTTTGTAAAGCTATACCAGTATTGAGGGTACATTTTATATAAAGAAAGACTGATCAGTGATGAATTGCTGAGCATTTTAAAGATATATGTATGAAGTTTTCAAAGCAAATGCTTCAAACACCAGAAATATGTATAATTTTATACAAAGGATAGCAGGTCTATTTATAACAATAAATTATGATAATTATAGATTTTTAAAAGGAATACAATTATAGTCTTTTTTAGTGAAATGTTGGTACATTTCAGGTTTTAATATTGTATGGACATTGATTAGATGCGGTATTGTTATGTTTTTAGCGTCCATTTGAGACCATATAATATTATGTGCTACACAAAAGCCCCTATAGCCCACGGTAAAGGTATGTAGGGCCTCCTTATCTCTAAGATATTCTAGAGGTAAAATTTCTCTCTCTTCAGTAAAAATTACTTAAAATTATTTAAGGATTTTGAATGCTTTGTTAAGAAAATAATTGTCCACAACTGTACAGCAATAAATGCAGCAGCCTTAGGGTGCTTTACCAGAGATTTAGATTGATCCAGAGATTAAGATTTAGATCGACCCAACTCCCTGGGGGTTCACGCTAAATTGCAGTCAGCCGAGCGGGCACCATAGTTAATTACCCCCTTACAGCTTTTAGTAGGCGGGACAGATGCTTAAGCCGGCCAAACTGACAGTAATCTAGTGAGACTCCCCACAGGGATAGATCGATCTAAAAATCTATGGAAATGGGGTGTTATATCTAATTCCTCAGTGAGATCAACCTGGGTGCCACAGAGAGGGGAGTCATTAAAAGTTATTAAACTTGCATTTTGTAAGAAAACCATTATGATTTATCTTTTCATGAAAATGTGTAGTTCACTTTTGTGAAGCTTTGAAAAACATTACCATTTAATTCTGTGATGCAGTATCTTAAATGTCATTGAGTTATATTTTATAGCAATTCTTACGAGAAAGGTTTTCATCTGTCTCAGAAGATGTTTACAAGTAATATGGAATAGATAGTTTAATTTTTAATGTTCAAGGTGGAACTGTTACTGATAACTGATAAATGTTTAAGGACACACCTTTTAACTTTAGATTCTGTCACCTGTTATGACTTCAATTTTTTCTGTTTGTAATTATTGTTTTGGGACCCTTTTAGTCAAGTTTACAAACACCTGTAATTTGTATGAGCGATTATTTGGCATATCTTTTGAACAAATTTGTATACATTGTACTTGTTATATTCTTACTTTTGTACAATAAATATTTATAAATATATCTCCCTAATCCCGTTTTTCAACTGATTGGTTGATGACTAAATATACGTACATCCAAACATCTAGATCTGCACCCGTGCAGAAAGACCAAAATACCCAAGATGGGTATAAAAACTGCATTGCTTTACAAACAATAATTCTGTTATGTACAAAAATATACACAGAAATAAGTAATGACACCTTATCTTGCAAAATATATTTCTCAAAAAATAAAAGTATCACAATTTTCTTCTTATCAACAGACAACATGTTAAAAGGGTTTCTTTATAAATTTTGTGTATTACTTTGCATATTCTTCAGATGAAGCAGGCTTCACTATTCCTTCATCAAAACAACTGCCACGAATAAGTTAAGACATCTATTAAAATAATTGTCTAAGTTAATGAATGAATTTAATAGTCTGTTAAACTACGAGTCCCCTGTTGCTGCCAACTTTTCAACCACTGCAGGAAGCTTTTCCAATTTCTTCATCACGTGACTTGGGAGATGATCTGTCTCTCCATACCTAAAATATGGAAGAACACAGGGTCTAATTATCTATTCAAGGTGGCAGCATAACCAGCACACCTAACAAACGTGTTTATCTTTCTTCTCTAAGCTTCTTTATACTTCTACAAAACAAAACAAAAAACCTTAAACTTTCAATATGGCAATCTCTTTTCATCATTACAAAATTAAATCGCCCCTTTTTGTGTGCCACACACCTCTGCCTTCCTGCTCTCTCTGTATTTGCCCCCCCTCCCCCCCAACACCACCACCACCACCACCACCACCACCACCACTCCATCCAAGCACTTACCTTGACACTTTGCCAGCCTGATCCACATATTTGATGGCAGTCTGTGAAGAGCTGACACACACCTGTGTCCCATCATTGAACTGCACCCACACTGAGCCATCACAGTGCTGGAAAGAAGCACAACCCAAATGCTAAACTGGAGGGCTTCTATTGCAAATGGACATACACTCTACTGTTTAAATCAAAAATTATTGTGCTATGTGAAGAAGATAAATTTACTAATCTTATTAAATTATTTAATGATCTTTGTTTCTGTTATAAAAGTCATAAATAAGTGTTTCAGACTCACCTGTGATGCCCAACCCACATCTGGCACAAACATCCTTTTTAACACTCTCGCTGATGGTGACGTCACCTCAGGTGATTGTGTCACCCGTTTCTGAGACTTCTGCCGATCTCTAGCGTGACTGGCAGGGGAGGATTGATTGGAGTGGTGACGTTTAGCACTGCTACTCCGTGCTGGTTCACTAGGGTAAGGCTCCACAGTACTACCAGCTGTTGGTGTGTTGTGTCTGCGGCTCCTGCCTTCCCCTGTGAGATCTCTTCCTGAATGTGGAGGTCTTTCATCTGAAATAATATTACCATCTGACCTCTTGTGCATAGATGTGCTTTGGCCTGTATTTTTCAATTTTTCCTTCTCCCAGTCTTGTATTCTGTCACTGCTATTACCATTTTTCACATGCAAACCCCTCTGGTGTGACCTTGTAGTCCTACCAGTATGTTCACCACCACGTCTAGGTCCTACTCTTCCAGTATTATCGTGATGCTCCATGTTTTCCTTCTGTGATAAGGTACACGGAGTTTTGCTGTAGACCTCTTCCTCTATTGACTGTGTTCTTTTCTGAGATTCTTTCTCATGTAAACTTTTATTTTTCCTGCCTCTTTCATGTAGTGCCATTCTAGCCTGACTGTCAATAGAATGTTCCTGTGTTTTTTGCACACCGAAGTCTCGTTCTGCACCATGAGCCTGTCTCTTGTTATCTGAGTTCTGAGATATGAACAGTTGTCCCTTTGCTCCGGAGAGTGTCTTATGGGCGTCTTTGGTTGTCCGTGGTTCCTGAACTCTGGTCACATGACTGCTCATCACCGTCCCATCAAATGACAGCATCTGATACATTATTTAAAATTATACATTATTTGCATTTGCATGATAAATTAGAGGCTTGGTGGAAGTTTTATAAAAACATCAATGTTCTGTACTTGTATTAAACTTTCAAGTCAAATTCAAATGACAGCAGTCCCTGATCTTATCAATCAAGCAACAAGATTAGACATTTGACTGTAAATAATGTTCAGAGACATAAATTATAACATGTTAGTTCTGTACCTATTGAAATTTAAATACATTCAACAATACAATCAATTCATCATAAAGTTTAACAAATTAAGGCAACCAAAGGGTTTAATTGATTAGCAAAATCAGACACAAGATGCAAAATATTCTGAATCTTTTAAAATATCAGGATTAAAACTTACAGTTGGTGCTGGTACTGCCACTGGGGAGCCCTCAGTCTGCTGCAGGAAACCCCTGTTGTTCTTCTTCTCACCAGATGGCGCTTGCTTCCCATCAGAACTACTGCCTGTTGCACAGGGCATTGTGGGCCGCCTGAATGAATACAGTCGAAGCAACTTTTTTTAGTTTTTTTCTGATGCATGTCTATTCCATCAATTCCTTGAACTATGGGAAATTCAACTTGAGTACACAATGCACATTATACCTTCATTGTTAATGCCTATAATGTACACCCACCGATTTGCTAATTTTAATTGAGTCGTCTGCAGAAAACTTGCATTCCTCTGTCAAAGTACCAAATATCTGAAGATCTGGTAGTATCAGCAAAGAAGCAGTACACTAGAATAACGTAATTGTTCGAATGTTTATTACTTAATCTTTATTTTAAGCAATGCATATTACCTGCCAACAATGACTGGGAAGTAGTGGCCTATCCCTGCCTTTTGTTCAGCGATGGACAAAGCAGCCTCCAGGTCCAAACAGTGCTGACGCAGCTGAAACAGATATTTAATAACAATTAGTTAGTTTTGGCAACTGCCAGCATGACATTTCTGCTGTATGAGAAATAAATGGCATTATATTGTAATTATGAGCAAAAACAGTTTTGCATATTAATATATCATTCAGGCATATAGTTTTAGTATGTTCATATCTAAAGAACAACTCATATTATCCAAGTCCATTTGCCTTTTCTGCATAATTGAAACAAATTCAAAATATTTTTTAGAAATCATTCATTCTTTTTAAAATCGAGAATTAACTTCTAGTGGAACCACACTATATACAGTTTCAACTTAGTTATTGTTATTATAATGCTAGTGGTAATTCTCACTACTAAACAACGTTCTCAGGCCCATAACCAGCAATTTGAGAAGGGGGTTCTTTTTCTGAAAAAGTGGACCTTTTTCTATGAAACTTCCATGTACCTAGATAAAATTTTACTCAGAGGGGACCTTTTTCCATCAAAAAGGGGGGTTCTTTCACACCCCCAAACCCCCCTGGCTATGGGTCTGGATCTCCAGCTGGGTACTTTACCTGTTTAACATTCTCCCACAGTTTCTGGGCGTCAGCAGAGAGGTGGTGGACTCCAGACTCCGTCCCTAGGGTGATGGTAGTGCCATCCTGCTCGATAATCCTGGCACCCTGGGGATTGCAGTTTACTTTGGCACCTTGGAAACAAAATATAGTTCTGTTTGAAATTTATTTCACCTATGCCACCAGGGCGGTATCTCCTGCAGCGAACCTGATGCCACAAGGAAGAATCCTTCATCCTTTTTCATTCACAATTTAAAAGCTAGTCAGGAACAGAGATGGAACAACTTAAAAATAAACACTTGCCTCACATAATAATTTTTTTCAATACTTTCCCACATTCTATTTCACATTGTTGAAAAACATTTTGATGTCTTGCCTATAATTTATCTGTACTTATTTCACATAACAAAACTAGAACATTTCTTATACAATATGATCTTCCTACTCACCATCAGCAAACACCACCTCAAAGTCAGCACTGGGGGAGTTCTCCATCAGCATACACTTGGCTTTGGTGGTATACATAGTCACCTTGGGGGTTTTAGAGCGCACCAATTTGACAAACCTGAAAAAATGATAAATTTATATGTTAACCAATGTTTATATCTATTGTATCTAGTAGAAGGAAAATAAACATTAAAATTGGAGATAGACAAGATTAATTACTATGACAATTTAGGTAACATGATCATATGCTCTATATGGTGTCAATGGTATTTTCTTCTGACTTATATATGGTACTTTCTTCTAACTGTACCTATTGATATAAAAGCAATTAATAATCAAACAAAAAGAGTGTATATGTACACAAGGAAGTGCTTTGGCCTGTTAAAAAGAAAAAGCTCTGGAATTCTCATGGTTTCCAATTATTTCACTAAAAATCCAACACAACTTTCTA